GACAGACACGCTTTGGGCGCCCGCTTGCGGACCTTGTTGGGATTCTTGGCCCGCGCTGTTTTGGCGGCGGAGGCGGCCGGACCGGAAGGACCGGTGACACCGGCGGTGCCGACTGCGGCCTCGGTTTCAGTCGCCATTGTGTTAAAGCGGCGTTTTACGTCGGTTATTGTTGTTTATCGTGGCTTCTTGGCGGTGTTGTAGAGTCTAGGTGTCGTAATGAGAATTGGGAGAAAACGGTATAAGCTGATTCGATGAGTGAGCGTGCCGTGCTGTCGTGAATTGTACAGTGTATACAACGGCTCAGGTATTGTACCGCAATTACGTAGACAAAGTGTTTGTTTACAGACCAAAACGGTGACAGCGTGGAGACGTAAGAAAGGAGAAAAGAAAAACAAAACCTCAGATTAGGCGGGGGAGAAAGTGAAGGAACGGAGAGAGATGAGAGCCAAAAGAGCACAAGTCAGAATAAAGTAGATAGAAAGATTAACTATCCACGTAAAATAAAAATAAAGACGGGGTTCTATTGTTGACAAAAGAAAGAAACCAACTTAGAGGTGGGGTTGGGGGATAGGCTGGGGGGTGGGGGGGGTGACAGAATGTAGTGTGGAGGAACTTCGAGAATTGTAATATGAAAAGAGAATGGACAATGAAAGAACGCGAGCCAGGGTCCTCAGTTTCTGCAAGTGGATTAGAAATGGAGCTCAAGAATAGAGAAGAGGCGGCAAGCGAGAGGATGTGGGCTCCGAGAACGGGGATAGATGTCCGGCCCCGTGAGACGAAGATATAAAGCAGAATACACGCGGAGAGGTAGGCAGGCTGGCATCTGTCTGGATATTGAGACATACAGCATACTGGAGAAAGCATAAACTGGGATGCGGCACTCTACGGCGGCGGAGCTGAAGGCGATTTCATGAATTCATGGGACAGGGGGCGTGTGGGTTGGCGATGAACGCTAGTTGGAAAAGACATTGCCAAAGTGCAACCACGGCCATAGTCTTTGGTTTATCAAACCTCGTTTAGGCTCTCCTCGACCATTTGTTTCGTCGGCTGGGAACCATGTCAATCTGGTTGTCCACTTTTTAAGTCTGGAGACCATCTAAATGGCGACTAGTGGGAAGACGGATTCATACCAAACTAGGGCCACAGTTGAGGATGGTATGCTTTACAGGAAACAAATAAGGCAGAAATGTCCTGGACGCATTCGTCGTACTTTCTAATTCGAAGGATACCCATCCATTTTGAACACACTGTGGAGCGGAGATGTTTGGACGCAGACACACTGACACGGATTACAACAGCTCCGTCGGTACAATGTAAGAACGGCCATTGGCCACGAGACCCGAGAGTCTGGTATTGCCGAGACCACTGGCAGATATAAAGGAGGTGCGGAGAAAAGAAAATAGAAATAAGAAAGGGCCAAGGGAGCGCCCAGACACTGCCTTGTTCTCTGGCCGCCGGACATCAGCGGTTCGAAAATGGTCAGCCCAGCAGTAACTGATATGACATACATGAGCTAGCAGGTAGAAAGCCGTGGGCTAATGGTGATATTGTCCTGCTGTGGTTATTTGTTTATTTATTTCCCTTTATCTGTCTCCATTGGAGGGATGAATACCGCTCTAATTCAGCGCGAGGCTGGCCAAAGGAGGAAAATAATATGATCTGTCGGCACAGCCTCAAGAAATGATTCAAAACTCGCCAACACCGAAATTGCCGCGACGTCCTGAAATTCAAAATGATTGCATCCGGTCCTCTCGGAAACTGGCAAAATATTCAAACACTGGTTGTACGAATTCCACTACGGGCGCTATTGGCACACGCTCTGGATTACATTCGCTGGGGAAAACGGCGCTACTGTCTGACAATTTGCCGTTTCTCTGGGGAAGTTGGGGTAGAATGGTCCCTGGGAAATGCTTTTCCGCCCGCACCGCTCCACCCATTCGTCCATTCGGGAAAGCGGTGTTCGGTAAGAACGCTCGGTAATAGACAACCACTAGCCTTGCAACACATCGGTGTCTGGCCGTGTACATGTAAGACATACTGACCTATGACCTAGGCCCGCGATGTTTTTTCCTCTTTCGGATATGCTGCTTGTTACCTTCTCAACCTCCCCCGTCTTACTGCCATCCCTCGAGACCTTTCATCTCCGCATCTTTCTTTCGTGACCCCAAGAGATGCGGGGCCCAGCGTCGACTCCGTTTACATACAGAGTCTCGATAGTCTACATCTGCGTCGTACATTGGAGAGAGTGTTGGAGACCAACGACAAGACCACAGGAAGTGAATGAAAGATGACACTTGGCACTTGACGGCTAGATCCAGCTAGAACGATGCCAGATTTGACGAGGTGCTATTGAGATAATGTAAGACTGGCGAGACTGTGGCGGAGAGTGAAAGTGGGAATAGCTACAGAAAATAAAAACTATACAAAATGAGTTCACATGACAAACGAGAAAGCTGGTTGGGAAGTATCAGGCATGTCAATAAAAACGACAAATGTCCACAAAGTCCCAAGGCTTTCTAGTTTTGTGACACCACCCATATTATCCACAGAGCTCACACGAGCTGGTCAGCTCACGAGGCGTTTTGCACTTTCATGCATTTCTTTTTAATACATTTCTCGACTTTAAGGCAATATTTCATTATGACATGCTTGAATCGCCAAGGTTGACTCGCCTGACTCGCTGGTTTTGCTCTTACGAAATTGCCTGTCCTATCCATAAAAAAAGTTGTCTAGCGTGTGCTAGCATCCGAGCGTACTGGCTGTATAATTAAATTCAAGTGAACAGAGTAACGGAGTAAATACGGAGCGCAGAGATAATAAAGAGAAAACGAAGGAAAATATTGGAGCTTCACTCGAAAGAGCAACAGGCTCATCGAACACCCGTTTGCTCGATATTGGCGAGCACCTGACACAGTGACAATGGTAACCCTGTACTTTTGTTACCATTCGAGGTAAATGATATCACACTGATCGTATTTACTCTTCGCTCCAATGTGTTCCTCATAAACTAACTGAGAGGACCCTCTTTTCACAAGGCTGTTGGAAAAGCGCTGTGAGTCAATTTCGTCATCGTGCCTTTCGTTCTTCAAAGTTCATCCACTTAAGCGTCTCGGTGACACAGTAGGCGCCTCTTGCTTTGTTGTGGAGTCTGTTCTTGATGCGGGCGTGCGAGTGGGTGAAACAAGGGAGACATCCTGTGCGACATCGCGATAATTTGCTATCCGCCGTTGTAGTTTCTGGAACAAAGCAGCTGTTAGTTGGCCGAAGATAGCAGAGCAAACACAGAAAGGTCGTTCTTACCCAGCGGTGGCCAAGTTTGACTCCAAGGGCGTCCCTGTAAGAATGTGAAGATTAGTACGCTGTCGATACGATAAAGACAGCCAAAGGCGAAGGAGAGAAACCACACAGATCGGACTCTGTGATGTCGAGAAGCGTCTCCCAGGAGTTAAAGCCTTGGTCTACAAACGTGTCGTAGGTCGGACATCCTCTCCGCTTGTCAAGTACCGCAGCTCGATTTGGAAGACTGACCAAGTCGGGACTCCATGAGACAGGGCAAGACAGGATGGCTACTTATACGTTGCCAACGAATATCTCACTTCGCGTCCAGGGGACATAATATCACAAAAGGTACTTGGACAATACTAGGCCAGTCCGACTGATGGCGCAGTGTATTGCCGTAAAAATTGTTCACTTTGCGTGTCTCTCTGCCTGGTGCGAATGTTGTGAGCGACATATGACTTCCTTCAAAGGCTTTTGCTTATTTGGCACTCCTTATGTCGCTTTTTGCTTTAGCTACCCCTTCGATTTTCGAACCTCGAAGGAAGGCCTGTCTCCTACAAAGCGAGTAATACAAAGCGAACTACATGTCTTTCGACTCCGGGCAGGTCCGTTGCATTAGACGCCATTCAGACGCAGCCATATGCTCTATCGAAATGTGATCTAAGGGTGAAACACGTATCTGTGGATGGTCTGCTGTCAGCTTCCACCAGTCATGTCGGACACGCTGCTCTGGTTATCGTATTGGGATATGGGTATTCGATATCTGATATCTTATTTTGTAATGTGATCCGTACCTGCGTTGTCAACAGAAAATGGGTGGACATACATTTTTCGATCGGTACGCGGCATATCGTGTTTTTACATGATAACATCTGTGACATGGCCCTACGACACCATTCTAGTGAATGGGTTCGAACTTAATGCCCTCGTTGTTACTATGTAATGCTCAAAGTAAAACGTCACTACGAATGATTTCGTAGCATGGAATCTCAATGCTTTCAAAGCACATGCAGAACAAAAGCTACCAGTCGCAGCATTAGAACGCTGAAATGACAACAGGCCTTGGGTTGTATATTTCCACGCGTACTACATGGTCCTCATACACATATTCATTGGCCCATTGTAACGGTTTATCGGTTGCGTGATTGAGTTGTAATGGCTTATGCGTTCTATATAAGAAGCTTAATATATGTCGGACAGGAGGACAAACTCTTGCAGAGGGTGATGCACTATGGGCGTAAAGCGGGAAGGGGACAGAGTGGCCAGGTATGGATGCACAGTAAGACGCAGTAGATATGGCCACCAGACAAGCGGCACACTTCCGTGAGTGGTCTCGCCTCTGCTCGATTGCCAGAATCAATCCTCTCCGGCTTTCGTCTCGGTTCGTCATTGTTCGCTGGCACCCTTTACCCGATTCTTTAATCAATCTCTGCAGAGCTTGGGAAGAGAAATGATCATATGTGATAAAAAGACGCGCACGCACAGACGGAGGCTTCCCCAAATCTTTTCGCACATGTGCGTCGTGCAGTGCAGCACACGCAAACGCAGTGCAACGAATTCAAAAGCCCACAACAAGCCGCGAATCGTTCATGCAGCATGCCTTGTGCTGCGAGCAATGTGCCGTGCGAAGGCTGTACGGAGTACAATGGATCGGGCCTGCCTCTCTGTCGTTTTCGTTGTCCACACATATTTGACCTATCAACGCCTGCTTCCACCCTTCTTCAAGCCGAGCGGCCATCCCGGCTTTGTTGGCCACCCGGTCTATCCGGCTCCAAGAAGGGAAGGCAAACGTCCGTGGAGTTGACATAGACCACCTCCGCTGCACATAATTTTGACAGTCAGATATCTAATACGTGCTGTATATACGTATTGTTTGGTGCTGTATGGTATTGGGGGACGCCTTACGCTTTGGGGCTCGTAGATCTGTGGCCGTGATCTTGCTTTCAGGAAGTACGGGCTGCACCGTCACTGCGGTATACGGAGTCCGTCTGGGTGGGGGCTGGATCCGGCCCTTGAAGAGAGTCCGGCCGCTGGACTCGGGTACGGTCGTTGCGGCATCATTGGTCGATGTTGAGGGCTCAGATGGTGCCATTTTGGACACTCCTATCCTGTCCCATCGAAACGAATAAGCGTCTGGGCTTTCTCGAATCTCGTTTCCTGTAGCCCGCGGCCCCGGCAGCAAACACCCGCAAATACCCCGTGAAGTTCTACTCACAGGCTCAGTTCCGGATGCTGCAGACAATAAAGACCCACCCGGCTTTCGGGGCAAAAGGGCCCTTGGAGCGGAACGACACCGGAGCCGATGGTCAGGCGCGGTCGGAGTGCAGCTGTAAGCAGTAGCGCTCTGACGCGAGCCTGTCATAGGCTGGAGACAAGGCTAGACTGAGGGTGTCGGACAAGCAGCCACCGAGCAGCGAACGATCGCGGAGGCTGCAGTCAACAGCAAAATACAGCGAAGGTAGAAAAGTGGGCAACACCACGAGCAAATACCAAGTTGCAGTGGAAATAGGTAAAGTCGGCGGTCACAAGGCGTATCACGCACATAAAAAGCGGGTCGAAATTGCGAATTGTGGGTCACATTGTGGCGCTAAGGCCTAAGCAGGAAGAACGACTCGAAAGGCTGCAGGCCCGTATGGAATTGCCTTTTTGTTGCTCGTATTACATGTATGTAAGAAATGCGCATGCATTCAACCATTGCACGAGCGTTGTTTATGTGCAGTTCGCACGGCGTTATGTGTGAGCAACAATGCTGTCGTGTTGTGTGTCGAACGAAAGCTGTGGCCTTGTGTCGCTGTGCAGGAAGGAACGACGTCCGCTTGTTGGTGGCATGCTTAGTCATTGCGGCAAAACGGCAATTGTCTGGGCGTTTCGAGGTCAGGAAGGGCCAGCACTTTCTGCACTTTAAACTCTCCAAGGATGCCTCCTGCTTGCAGCGCCAATGCTACTCTTTAAAATACACCGTACAATACTCCGTAGAGCACGAATCCCGGCATCTGCAGGAAGGTGCGATGAACAATGTGTGACGGTGCTGGACACAGGGCGCTGAGCGCTGGCCGCGTTGTGCCTGCCCTTTGTATTCGTAACGTTATGGTGTATGCCGTATTTACGCTGGGCAAGAGGTATGGCCGCAGCAGTAGCACTTGCCCATTCGAGCGGGCCGCGAGCCCCACGTGATGCGGAGCGGGCACAGTATGTATTTTTGCAGTGGTTAGCCACCAATGAGCGCAAGAACACGCAATAATTATGGGTCCTTTTTATTCCATCCACCCAATCATCTGCCCCTGGCGGCAACGGCGACTCCTCTTTTTTTTCCCTGGTTTCTGTTTTGGTTTGCTATTGGCGCAGTCGCAGCACCGCGCTGGCCTTGCCCGCCTCGCTGTGGTACTGCGTGGATGCGAGGATTTGGGTGCCGCAATATGGCTCTTCGAAGGCTGGCCACAGTGAGGAGTCACAATTTTCTCTGCCTACTGCTTCAAGTCTCGCCAACCCATTTGCTCTTTCCCCGCCCCCTCCGTGGTCGGTCGCTCTTGTACCAATTCAATCTTCAGTCCAAACAAATCGCGAACAGCACCTGGAAAGAGCCACCGCCCGATTCGTTTTCTCGTGCAGCATTGCTCTTGCGTTGCGCATTCCTTCGTGCCCTGCCCTTTAATTTGTCCATTTCCTCTTTTCTCTTTCATCCCTCTTTCCTACCCTGCTCTCCGCCACAACCGAGCGCCCCCAAACTTGGGGATTCCTCGTCAAGCCTTGGACATTTCGTCTTCTTCCGCCGCTGCATGCCACTCGGATCTCTCCGCACATCGCCAACGAATCGCCATTCTTCGTCTCTCCCAGCTCCTACGTCTCTGTCGGTCACCTACCTCTGTGTCCCTCGCTGACCGCCGTTGCGCCTCGCCAATATCTACTTAGTCTGACGACGACATCGCACGACCAACTCCTCTACCTCTCTCTCCGCCTCGTCTACCACCACCTCCTCGTCGTCTTTTCAGCCTTGTCAGCCTTCTCTCTCTGCTCTCCCGCTCTCCATCCTTTCCCCGCATCCCCTTTCCCCAAACGCCCTTTTCGGGGGCTTCAATTCGTTTGGTGGCGTGCATGGATGGCTCGCCACTTCTCGCGGCCGGCGGCGGTGCTTCATTGAGCCCGACAAGCCCAGTGAGCGCCCGCAGCATCGCCGGCCTCAACGGCGCAAAGCGAAAGAGGAGCGCCGGCGGCCCGGCCAGCGCATTCGACAGCAGTCCGGGAAGCGTCCTGAACGACGACGATGGCGACCACTCGGAGAAGAAGCGCCAGCCGGGCGTTAAACGGGCGTGCAACGAGTGCCGCCAGCAAAAGGTAAGCCGCAGTCGCCATTCTCAGCGCATTTGATACTGCACTCCGTGGCAGTATTCCAACCCCGGCTCTGCCCAATGCACCAATACTCCAATGCTAATCTCTCTTTCCCTAGCTGCGATGCGACGTCTCCCAAGACCCGTTTCGGAGCTGTTCCCGGTGCAACCGGCTCAAGTTGCAGTGCAAGATCGAATCGAACTTCAAGCGCATAGGTAAACGGTCCAAGCATGCCGAGATGGAAAAGGAGATTGAGCGTCTGCGCAGGAACGTGCAGCTCGCGCGCTCCCAAGGTTACGTCATTCCCGAGGAGAACGAGGACGAGAGCGCCTCGCACTCGCAGCTGCATTCGCCCATCGTAAACAACATCTACTCCCACACCCGCAACCCGTCGCTCATGGGCTCCGACGAGGCCGTCTCCTCACTGTTGCACTTGAAGCGTGGTGGCTCTTACAACCTGCCGCGCATTGTGCGCGAGCTGGAAGAGGTGCGCCTCACCGAAGAGGGCGAGGCGCAGCTGTTCCAGGACTTTTGGCTCTTCTACCACCCTTTCCTCCCCTTCCTCAACCCCTCCTTGGCGCCAGAACAGTACTACCAGCAGCACCCGTTGCTCTACTGGTCTATTGTGGCCGTGGCCGCCCGCCGCTACACGCTGGACCCGACGCTCCTCACCGCCATCTCGTCTCCTCTGAACACCCTGCTATGGAAGACGATTGGAGATGTCCCCGGCTCGCATTTTGTTGTCAAGGCTATGTGTCTGTTGTGTACATGGCCACTGCCCACGAGCACGACCACGTCCGACCCAACGCACATTCTCTGCGGTGTCATGATGAAGACGGCCACGGGCATCGGCCTGCACCGGCCCAACCACATCAACGATTTTACGCGCGTTGCTGTCGAGCTCAATAAGGACCAGCTCCACGATCGCGTCGTCACTTGGGCGGTGTGCAACATTGTCGCCCAGAATATCGGGACCGGCTACGGCCAGCCCGCATCGTCGCTTTACGATTGGACCCTGGCAACACGTTCGGGTGAGTCGGGGCCCTTCCAGCTGTCCCCTGAGCTAGAGGCCCGCCTGCAAATCGAGCGCTTCTGCGACAAGGTGTCCAAGGAGATGTACAGCAATGCGAGCGACTCCCGTGGTGTGGCTGGCGACGAGCACCGCTCCATCCTGATGCGCGTCTTCCGCCGTGAGTACGGCGAGCTGCACGCCGAAATCATGTCGCGCAACCTGTCCCCCATTGTGGCCTTTCACCTCAAGGCCGCCGGTCTGCACCTGCGACTTGCTGGCTTCTTCGACTCGAGCACCACTGTCGGATACCTCGACGACCTGATGGGTCTGTGGCGGTCGACCGTCGGCTTTTTGGAAGAGATTCTGGCCAACAGCACGGTGTTGTCGCCGTCGTCCCCGCAAGAGCATGTTGGCATCGACACGCTCAAGTACGCCACCAACTACCTGCAGCAGATGCTCGTCGCAGCGAGCTTTGCGCTGCTCAAGCTGATGCGCTCATTCTTTTCGCAAGCCATCGACTACGAGCAGGGCCGCCAGCTGTTCCACCGGACGATCAACGCGATCCGGTCCACCAGTGTGGTGCACAACGACCTGCAATGGCGGCTGGCAGAGCTGATGGTGCAGATGTGGAACGGCGCACGCCTCGAGACCCAGCAGAACCGTGCGCATGCGGAAGACGACACGATGCTCAACATTGACGACAGTCTCCAACTCAAGGTGCGGTGTCGGCACAGCATGAGTTTGGTGTTTGACTCGATCTGGCACTGGAGAGAAGAGTACCAGGCTAGAGGCCGTGGGACATTAGATGGTAAGTAGTTTTTGCAAAGGCTTTATGCGAGCCTTCCCTGTCGTGAGATTTGTCCGATTCTAACGTTGTCCTTCCTTCTCCAGCGCTCAAGCACCCAACCAATCCCGACTCGGCCAACGAATCCATCGCCTCCTCAACGCACATGGACACTGGCAATAGCCTGATTACGCAGACACACAACCTGCCGAACCTTTTGGCGCCACCGTCGAACGGCACGCTGACGCCCGCTCCGTCCGGCCTGGCTGGCCACGCCTCGAACGGCATGCTGGGTGCCGGCCTGACATACGATGCGAATCCGGCCAACTACGACTTCTTCGATCCGCAGCACTGGATGCTGGACAATCTCCTGGACTTTAACTACTCCTACGTTCAACCTCTGGAGGGCGCCTAGGTTCCGCCTGCTCCACTCCAATAAACGCGGCAAACCGACAGGTGGTCCACATCCTCTGTGACCTCTCGACTTGGCTCTTCTGCTTTTTTCCTCTTTCCCCCGCCGACTTTTCTTTTGATCAGATCGTCCCCGATAAAAAGTCTTTCGCGCGCGCTCTTCTTTGTATAATGTCTTTGGAGGTCCTCGGCAGCAATATGAGGCATCGGGAGAGGTCTCTGCCTACTGGGTGACATCAATGCGAGACCTCGCGTCGCGTGTTGCTTCCAAACACTAGCGAAGGCGTGTATTCCTGGCTCGGTGCCTTTGTTTCTGCGATTTATTCTTGGTCTTTTCTTTGCTTTCTACATGCCCTTTTCTCTTCTTTGGGCGGCCACTTTTATGTCCTATACTTTTGGTTCTTGATGTTTGATGTTTCCTTTTCGGCTCAGCGGCAGATGGCTTTCGCATTTGGATTCTCTTCTTTTTCTTTCAACTTTTCTTCTTTTCCATGTTTCCTAATACTTGTCTACTTGATATCATATTGGAGTACTCTTTTGTCGCGAGCCCTTTCTTTCT